TCTCTCTCTCTCTCTCTCTCTCTCTCTCTCTGGTGAGTAACGATAGTTCATTCTCTTATCGCTCCGCTTATTACCGAGATTTTTCTCTGCCGCTGCGTGCCTACGGGCCACTATTGTTGCAGACTCTAAGCGTGCATTCTTTCCGCTTCTCCTCATATTAACAAATCGAGCCTGGAATTGGAACTTTGTCGAGGAAAAGCGAGCGAAGGATCGGCTTAAATCATAACCTCAAATCTTCTGGATCGGGATCTTCTGGGCTTCTACTCACGCTTTCCTCTACTTGCGCCATCTGTTGCACACCCTCATCACCACCAGAGACAACCGAACGTGCCACCGAAATCACCTTCCGCATGACAATCAGCAAGCTAGCGAACTGTTGAGTCGATACCTGCGCTCCCTGTTAGTACCGCTAGGACCACTCACCGCATGCCATTCAGAACCCTGACGATCTCGCAAGCTCACACATTAATCTCGTTATTGCTAATCTTTCGAGAAATCTACAGCATCTGAAGTGATCAATACCCCGAAAAGTGGATTCTCACCCGCATGCCTGACGTTAAATGCAACAGGTGTAAAAAGAAAATCGCCACCGACATTGTCACCTGTCAAACGTGTTTAAAAGTGTACCATCCCGGCTGCTGCAAATCCTACATAAGGTCCAAAGCCGCCAGTGAGTGCTGCGTAAACTCATTTGCCGCGATGTTCAGCAACGATCATACTGCATCCACCCTCCCAAACCAAACTGTGATACAAACTTCGGGGAGAAATTTTTTCTCATCCTCGTTACCACCTGCTCAAACCACAACACCTCCGACGAATGCAACACAGGAAGCTATCCTCAATAAGCTAACAAGCTTTATTGAGTACCAAACGAAAACAAATGCTGAGATCTCTGCTTCGCTTGCCATTCTGCCAGTGATTAAACTCACACTTGACGACCACACGTCTCGCATCGAACGCCTTGAACAAGGTGCAACAGGCCAAATCGACCACACTAAAAAATCCACTACATCAAACGAGCTCATCATAGCGGGAATTCCGCACACCATCGCAGACTCCCCCGAGCAAATAGTGCAAAAAACTTTTCGTGCTCTCGAAATACCCGATTTAATATCCGACGTGCTAAGCATTCGGCCAATGATAAAAAAAGCTGAACCGTCACCTAAATCACCCCCAGGTACCGCTGGACAGGTGCGAGTTGCTAACCCACTGACGAAATCATACGCGCTCCTACTTAAGTCACCATGTGTTCGCGATTTCATTATAGACAAAAAACGTGCTAAACCCAATCTATCAGTCAGCGATGTGTTCTCTATGGAGATCGCCGGCAAAATATATATCAACGAACTTCTGACATCAGAAAAATATAACCTCTATCGTCGAGTCAAAGCAAAGGCTGCCGCGACCGCTTACAAATACGTATGGATCAAATCCGGCTTCATATTCGTGAAGAAAGACAATGGACACGATTCAGATTCATCGTGATTCAGACCTCAGTAAAATCATCTGACTACCCAGAATCAACGAGACGCTACAGTCGGGCTCCACGATGATATCTCATGCGATCATAGCTCACTTTAACGCGAACTCTCTACTAGGTCACATCGACTATATCCGTCACCACTTCGATTCTCATTTCTGCCACATCATCACTATTTCGGAAACTTGGCTGCACCATGGCATTTCAGATGATCTGGTAAAAATCAAAGGGTACTTCTTAATCAGAAATGATCGGGAAGGAAAAAAAAGGGGGCAGAGTTGCGTGCTACATACACTCTTCGCTAACCGCGCAAGTTCTTTCGACTTCAACCAGTGCCTTTTCGAACTCACCGGAATTCATCCTATTGAAAGTACGCTTCACGGATACTATTTCGCTTCTCCTTGCAACAATCTATCGCAGACCCAGAGGACGTCTTTTCAATGACTATGCTAGCCTTCAACCAACACTCACATGCATACAAAAACATAATCATAACAGGTGATCTCAACTGCAACCTTGAACGTCACGACTTTAAATCGCGCTACCTCAGAAATTTGCTAAAATCTCTCTCACTGCATTTAGTTCCCCCTGATCCTACTTATCACACTAAAACTAGCGATACGTGGCTGGATGTAATTATCATCGATGACCCAGATAAACTGCATACTTACACTAAATCTGATTCACCGTTCATCGCGGGTCATGATTTACTATGTCTCTCGTATGCCTTTGATCTTCCGTTGACAACTAAACCACAATCTTTCACCAGGCGCAGCCTCAACAAATTCGATCCAGAAGGATTCCTCTGTACACTGCAATCTTTACTCCCATCTGTCAATAATCTCACTTCAATCCACATTTCGACTGCTGCTCTTGTCGATCTTCTTGCTAACTCCTTAACAGAAACTTCCTTAACGGCACTCGAACCATATGCCCCCATCAAAAACTTCACCGCAAACAGACCAGCGAATCCGTGGATTACCGAAGAGTTCAAACAGCGAATTTTACACAGGAACAACATTTATAAGCGAGCCAAACGTTCAAATAATCTGTTAGAATTCGAAATCTACAGGCATCTAAGGGATCTATTAACTATCGATATACGACGAGCGAAGCAAATCTATGAATTTAACAAACTTTCTTTAATAACCGAACCATCAAAAATGTGGAAGGAACTAGCATCTCTCGGCTTAGTGAAAAATAATCTCACTTTACCGCTTCATTTCTTCTCTCCAGACGTCCTGAATCTTCACTACTCTGCTGTATCGAGCGCCGAACCTCCGTGCACGATTGACGACTTTCATCGCTCAATGTCTGCAGCTGCAGAACCTGTAATTCAGTTCAATCTCCACCCTGTATCAGTGGACATTGTCATAGAGCTAATAAACTCATTTCATATCACATCTCACGCCACTGGTCCAGACAACATTCCATTATTCTGCATAAAAGCCGCACTCCCTGTTATAGCGCCAATCCTAACAGAACTGTTTAATCTTTCGATAACTACATCGCACTTCCCAACAGCTTGGAAAAGAGCTCACATAAGACCACTGTCTAAGATCCGAACTCCACTCTCACCGTCAGACACGCGGCCTATTGCAAACCTGTGTGAGCTGTCCAAGATTCTGGAACGTATCATACTCAGACAAATTATCTCCTTCCTAACCATAAATAAAATCTTGGACCCCAGACAGTCGGGTTATCGCCAAAATTATAGTACACAGACTGCCCTCTTGCGATTATGTGATGATATCAGGCAAGGAATAGACAGGGGACTTGTCACTATTCTCGTCCTCTTCGACTTCAGTAAAGCGTTTGACACAGTCTCCCACAAGCTCCTCCTCACGAAGCTCAAGACAATCGTATTCTCCCGAGCCACCCTAGAGTGGTTCTTTTCCTATCTGACAGGACGAACGCAAGCATTAATTGACGAGAATCGAGACTGTACAGCCTGGGCGACAGTCACCACCGGAGTTCCACAAGGTTCCGTTCTCGGCCCAATACTATTTTCTCTTTTCATCAACGACATAGCAAGCTCTCTCAAACATTCACAGCACATCATTTTCGCTGACGATACGCAAATCTACCTCACTTGTCCCCCCTCGCAACTTCACCTAGGGCTCGCAAAGATAAATCAAGATGCTCAAAGTATCTTTAATTTTGCCGCAGCAAATAAACTCAAACTCAATATTTCAAAATCGAAGATCATGATTCTCGGCAGCAGTCCCAACGTCCGTTCAATAGACCTCACCACACTCCCCATGGTAAACATTAACAATGTTCATCTTCCATTTACAACCTCTGCACGCAACCTGGGTGTGATGATGCGTCCCGACTTGTCATGGAGCGAACACATCTCCGTGATCTCACAAAAGGTTCACCGTACACTTCATAAATTAAAATTCCACAAAAATTCTCTCTCCCGCGACCTCAGAACAAAACTTGTTTCTACTCTCATCTTCCCACATCTCGACTACTGCTGCCTGGTTTATCACAATCTATCCTCCGAACTCAATATCAAACTTCAACGCCTTATCAACTGTGGAATACGTTTTATTTTTGACTTACGCAGAGATGAGCACATCACCCCGTTTAAGCTAGCACTCAAATGGCTCTCGGTAGAGAATAGACGGTTATATTTCCTTGGCATCCTCACCTATAGAATTCTCTACCTAAGCTCGCCACCTTATTTACAAGAACTATTCCCACAACGCGACTCCATTCGACGTTACCCCTCGCGGCATGACACCTTATCAACCGTCTTTCAAGTTCCATTGCACCGCACAGCTACTTATCGTAACTCATTCCATCTCACAGCAATACATCTCTGGCACTCCTTGCCTTCTAACATCACTACTGCTCCTTCCCTACCTATTTTCAAAGAGCGTCTTTTCTCTCATCTCCTTGCGTCTGAAATGCGCGAATACGAAGCCAGGACGACATAGTGCGTTATATCGCGCTACTGTCGTCGCATGCTGGCTGTCAAATAAAAAATTATCATATCTACTTATATCTTTAGACGACCTCATCTATATTCTGTTTCATAAACCACATAATATAAGCTACCCTCTCTTATCACATTTTGTTACATTAAAATCTACATAACATTACTTTATAGCTACTCATTGTAAACCAATTTCTATTTCACTGTATATCAGTGTAATTTTCATCATTGCCACAAAGCGTTGCTATGGCACAAATAAATATGTCTCTCTCTCTCTCTCTCTCTCTCTCTCTC